ATCTCTTGCAGATTGGAGTGTATATTGACTCAAAAGAAATTAAAACTGATTGAGCAAGAGAAATTAAAACTATTATATTATCAAAACATCCCTTGCAGATTGGAGTGTATATTGACCCAAAAGAAACGAAAACTGATTGAGCAAGACAAATTAAAACTATTAACCAAAAATTGGCACATTCCCAACTTGACGGGTACAAAACGCGTTTTTTCACAGTATCATCAATACATTGATATAAAAATAAAGACCAGTAAAATCACTGAAATTGATGGAAAAACTGACAACAAACTGCTCACGTCTCCGCCTCCCCTGTGTGGATCAAAGATAATACACACATCGTCGTACTTTGGACACAAAATCTTTCCTCCCGTGAACAGCCCAGTTGGTGTAATACTGCTGCCTTCTGGGCACTGGCGCCATGTATCATCTCCAAGGTACCGCACGCTCACCTCACCCTTCTCACACGACACCTCAGCGCATACGTCACCAATACGACCCATGAAATCGACAAGCCCATCCCCCTTTAAGCACTTTGATCTCGGGCCAACGCGACTCCCGTGCATGACGCTTGCTTCCCCATTGCTGCACCAAGTGTTGGAATACGGTTGAACGTAAGGGCAGAAGTCCATAAAGGCGTAGGCCGAACCGCCAAGTTTGAGATTCGAAAAGTACTGATATTGTTGGGGAAGTTCGGCTGTGTAGAGATAGATTGTACAGTACCCCAGCGCCAGACGATCCGATGTACATAAAAAAAGACCTGTTTCAGCGGTGCAAAACATCTCTGAATACTTGTTGACGCCATTCATCAGGCATTTCTCTGTCAGCAGCGCGCAGCCGGAGTTTTTGCCCCATGACATCGGTTCCTCCATTCCCCAATTGGCCTTGTAAAACCCGGTGTCCTCCAAAGCAGCCATTGTCAGGGACGTGTAGTAGCCGATTCCGGAAATACCAGCCATCAGCTCGTCCTTTGTGTTGCGTCTCTCCCAATGCGACGATGCTGTTCCTTCCCCACCCTCATCCTCCAGCTCCATGCCGGTAGCATTCACGCAGTTGAAGTGCTCGCGAGTCTTCTCCACCGTCTTGGGTGACGACACCTGCAGCACCTTTGCTTTGCCGCGTACGTTCAAAACCTCCTTCAACATATTGCGTTCTTGCAGTAACCACACACTAAACCCAATAGCATGTGCAACTTCATGCGCTGAAACACGAACACTGTTCTCCGAATTAGTGACAGAGCTCGGGCCATAATTCACCACTCCAACAACAGGGCGTCCATCGGTTAATTGAGAGCATGTGGTAGCCCACGCAAGTGTGGAATACTGTGTCGGGCCAGCGGAGACATACAAGTACATGTCCGCACCGCTCACACCCTCTGTTTGATGGGAGCTGGGTATTGTAAACTGAGCGCATATACCTGACGAGTACCTTGGTACAATAACCCTGCCCGTGAGAGGCCTAACAAGTAGACGATCCGTGTGCATTCGGAACGCTCGGGGAAGAAGGGAGTTTAATATGATGGATCTTTTTTCCTTCGTCAAAATATCCCTTTTATTACACTCAAGATTTCTCCCAATAAAGTCTGGACGAATCTGCTTCTCAGCGGTGCAGTGTTTTGAGGGATCGTTCAGATCCTCCGTGAAGACTTGAAAACGGATGGGCGCCCATTCGGGAGCCGAGGCAGTCAGCGCCCGCATCATGCCACCTCCCCGAGTTGGCAGCTCTAGCACCACTGCTGTCGTCCGGGGGCCAACCTTGTTTTCAACTTCATCGGAGATGCAGTGATGCTCAGCGACGGCAACAGAACCAGAGACGCAGCAGAGTAGCAGCACCTGGAATAGCAGGGTGTGACGCATCCTTGTGTGTTTTTTCTTTTGGGCCTTTCACAGTGCACTTTAGCTGTTTGTATGCTTGTCAATTGGCTTACCTTGAGAAAAGAAATG